GTACCGTCTTGGGCCGAAAATGCCCTTTCCCGATGGCAACAGAGGTTGCAGGAGTACAGTACAAAAGAGATACGCGTAGCCGGGGCTCCCGGTTCCAGGACCCGGGATCAACAGCTCGGGATTGGTGGTTGGGAAGGCGGGCTTGACCGGGTCGTATATAAGCGCATTTTCAAAACATTCTAGCAGCGAAAATTGGTTAGCTCTCGGCTGGAAATGGACCCGCCAAGCGGGCGGTAGGGGGGGGGTTGTTGACGGTTGTGGATTGGTTCCCCGCCCTGCTCGAACCTGGCCAATGCTGGCTTGAATCTTTCCCGGATCGCTGCTCGCCCTTTTCCTATATGGGTTGGGAAATTGATGGAAGGGTATGGTACGTAAAAGGGCGGCATCGAATTCATGTCTTGAACGGGGTTCAAAAATTTCTCTTTCCTGAACGGCAGGATCACACTGCCATCTGGCATCAAGGCGTCTACGGGTATATATCTATCCATTTCGTACTTGTGCGGTACTGTACAGTACTCCTGGTGAGGTTGATAACCCGGACACTCACAGAACGCTGGTAAACCCGAGATATCAACGGGACGAGCAAATTTGTCAAGAATATGAGAGCTCGGATCGGTCTGCAGTGTCTTGGTTACTCAGGAACTTGCTTCTCAAGCGTCCAAGGCTTTTTTAGTTGTCTATGGTTGCATCATGCAGGGGTATCCGGGTTCTATAAATTCATCTCATCAGGCGTGATAATTATCACCTTTTTCGCCCTTGGGGCAACTGCTTTTCTTTTCTTTTCGCGGAGTGGGCCCGTAGCTGCCCATTGGCTGTTGGGTTGGTTGCGCCGGCTTTTTCTTTCACTTAATATCATAGCTATTGGTATATGGTGGATTACCTTTGCTACCCGTGCGGCGGTTGCTCTCCCACCAACGACCAAAACTCCCCGATGGAACAGCATTGCGTACCGGTGACATTGCTTCGCAAGGATTAATAAGGATTGATAATAGGTCTAACAATACTGTTCCTGGATCTTCCGGGAGGGGCAGAAATGTTTATAGAATCTTCTCTCGAGGCTCTGGGGCGGGGACCTTCCGTCAGAGTGTAGAAATACTCGTGGTGAGGGGGGGGGGAGTAGAGGAATTGTTGAGCGGAATACTTGTAGTGGTTGAGCAGAGTAAGGAATATCAACTCTGATTTGGGTTTCTTGCAAACGGTATTAACACCTCACGCAGTGGACTTCCTTTTTTTCCTATCAAGTTGGCTGAAGCGTGAAGCTATGGGCAAATGTAATATCAAATATCATCGGCACATCACGATCCACGAGTGGGAGATGCGCTAGGAATCACAGAATAAAATCGAAGCTACGAGTACAAGTGTTAAACAGTATCGAGTAGAAAAGTGTTCTTGCTATGACATACTCCCAGCTTCCTCGAACGATAATGTTAACATTTAAACATAATGATTACACCTGCAGCCCCTCGGGAAAGTCGCTCCGTTACTTACCTATCAATACCTACTGGATACCAAAAATTCCTCGGCTGCAGCCACACACACACACACATACACACACACACAGATCATACACCACAAAAACCGTAATTGGGCACTTCACCTAGACGTCACAGGATTATCCTTCCTATATCCTTTATTCACATCATACCACCTCCCCCCCACGAAACCGTTTACAACGTATATAAACTCGTTCGAACTCCCCCCCCGAGCCCAGGGGAAGCCCTTGACCGTTTGTGAAACGCATTTAGCCATGAATTCCATTGCTACGCATAAGCCCAAGGGCGGTCGACCCTCCGATCCTCTTGTCGACACTCTCATCATCCCTTACCCGGATCCCACGAAACCCCAGAGCACCAGACACAAGTGCCGGTGGTGTCCGGAAACCTTTGCTGCGCGAAACACGGTGCGTGCGAGGAAGCACGCCGCCTTCGAATGCCCCGGCATTCCGGGAGGGCAGAGGGACGAGGTGAAGGCCGTCTTGGAGAGGAGGGATATGGATGGTAGGAGGAGCTCGGTGGGGTCTGCTGGGGGGTCACATTGCGCTACATGTACCTGCGTCTTGCATGAATGTTTCGATGAGAGGGGCGTTAGGGTTGTTTTCTGAGAGGGGGGAGTGGGGGAGTGGAGGGGAGGGTACGGAGTTGATTTTTTCTGGTCGTTTTTATTGCGCGACGTATTTGGGGGGTAATGGAAGGATGTGGTCGTTGTTCGACATCAATACGATTAATTTACACGGTCGTGGGTAGCAAACACTAATATATTTGGCCATGATAATAGCCAATACACTTGCACTAATGGGAGTTCATACGGGTGACGTTCAAAGCGGCGCACTTGTATATCGCGCAGAGCATGTCTTGTTCAGGGTTTGGGCTGTATGATGAATATTAAAGTTCTCCAAGGAAAGGTATTAAGAGTGCCTTTAAAATCCTTCGGCGGTGAAATGGAATTGACTCAACCCCATAGATACCTTATTTGTATTCTGATGCTTGTGCTCGTGGGCAAAGGGTTTGGTGGTGATGGGTTCACTATGTCAGTGACTGACGTCACCGACTATGGCAACCTGTGCAGGAGAGAGGTGTATCCAGGTATCACAGGCAACGCGCAAAGCTTTTGGAGGTCTCGGTCTCAGGGGACGATTGGGGCTCGCATAAACTGTTACGGTACTTCTGTATCGCACCAAGACAGTCTACCTCTCCTCGCTGGAGAGGTTTGATGTTCACGCTGTAGCCCAAGCCGAACACGGGAGATATGATACCGCACAATACGGGTACACTGCTTCAAATGTTACCCAAACAAAGCCCCACTGATGCAAACGTATTGGTTGTGCTTCCTCTGACTCTGTGAGTGCTATTATCTTGATCAAAAGATGTTAGTGTTTGCCGCTCACAGCTGTTTTTAACTCATTTCCAGTCTTTATGTGGTGGCGGCACGCCATGGGCCCTGGAGGGGTTCTTGCGCATTTCCTAGTCTGGACTGCGTGTTCGGCTTCCTGATGTTACTATCGAAACGAAATAAGTTACCTCACCATCAAACTCTATACAGCCTTCCAATTCTTCTCCATTCTGCCCGGTATCGCGAGGAGTAATGTATGGTGAGTTGTTAGCTTAACCATGGGGGTGAGAAACAAGACAACTGTGCCCCTGTACTTTGTTCGCAATGTGCCTCCTTGCCAGAAGGTTTACAAGGGAGGTTCAAAGTTCCCGGGACGCTTCAAGATTCCGAGTGATCGATCATGATTTCTCTAATTTTCGGGAGCTCTCAGGGCATGTGCATACATTGACGGGGATTGATGGGAACACGAGCGTGTGCGTCAACAGCTTCTGAGCCTATGTGAATATACTTGGTGTGGTATATTGTCTTTACCATTATTGCTTATGCACTTGAAGCTTAAAGGTCACTCAGCGCAGGGTTTGGTGGAGATCTTGGGTGTGAGCGCCACCAGATCATACGAGTGGATAGTAGAGTACTATCATTAAGAGTTATACAAATTGATGGACTAATCCCCCCCCCCCACAATCCGTAGAAGAATGAGGTTTCCGAGCAGGAGTGTCAACACCTGCCAGCTCCGACAAAGTTACACTTTACTCTCTTAAAACGCTGTATTCAACAACTCCCCCCCCTCCCCAGATAGGAGGAGAAAAGGCATGAAAGCAGCGATCCGCCACTTAGGCTCAATCACCAAAGGAAGAGGCCAAACCCCGCGCATCTCACTCCCCCTCGCCCGTCTCCTGACCCTCCCCATCACAGGTAGCCACATCCCCAACAGGTGCACGTGCCATGGACATTGAGAAGCGCGGTCGCGGAACAGCTCGGGATACTGGACGAGGTCGAGATCGGTATTGGTATGCCGGGAAGCGATGCGCCGGTGCTGCGGGCTATACTCCTGTATCCGCTTTTCTATGGGAGAGGGAGAACGTTGCGGGTTGGGGTCCGTGGAGGGGTGAATTGAGCTTTAGGTGTGCTGGGATGCAGGGTGGAGGATTTGGGCCTGGGAGGATATTGTGACCACAGCGGCCTAACAGACGGGGTCAACATGGGCAATTGGGGCAGGATGGGCAATGCAGAAACTACCTGATATGGAATTAGAAAATCTGCTTCAGGTGTGATCTTATCAGGGAAGGTGTAATTGTCTGCCGGGGTTTTTATTTTATAATATTATAATCGATAACTTACTGGTGTGCAGATCAGGAGGGGGTTCTTTCGCACACTCGCCCATTGAAATTCTCTGGTAACGTGTTCCCTTCTTGTTTCCACTTTCGAATGCAGATCTCGCCTTTGGTTATGTGTAGGAAATCGGCAGGTTTTAGATGGAGCTATGCAATAAATGAATGTGCCCTTTGACAATTATTCCTCCGAGGGTGTATAATACTCGATCGTGGGCGAAAAATGCAAACCACTCGGACGATTGGTTGATCATCTATGAGGAATCTACCCCCCCGTCTTTTCAGTTGTACTCAAGTTTAATCGTCTGAGTGAGTGGGGTGTCAGGGTGGCTTGCGGTTTCGTCCACGCTGGTTTAGTGGTCTGAAATATACAACTGGCACCTCTCGGTAAGGATGGCCAATGGTTTTCCGGCATCCTGGTGCCCCCCTGACTGCGAGGATGTGAGACAGCAGTTGGGTAGAAAAAGTGTATCACCACTTTTGTCACATGGATAGGTGTGGTCGGTCGCAGAGACGTTTGACATTCCTTATTTATAGATCTGTCGTCTCCATCCTCCTACTATGCGCTGAGAATTCAAGTAATCCACTACGATGGCTATTGATGTTTATTGACAAGGGCACTACTCTTTCTATAACTTATCTATGATACAATAAAAAAGAAAAGATTTCTCGCACCAATTACCTGAACTTCAGTGCAAATATCACGCATATATAGGATGAATAGTAGCAAAATGTGTGAAGGTGGCTACTAGCCCGTGGGCCCCTATGCGTTATGCCTAAAGGAAAGTTATTCCGTCGGCCAGAGCAGAAACCGGAGAGAAAAACATGGAAGGTCATGAATTAAAGAAACTTGGACCGAAACCTGCTCTTGCTCCTCAACCAAGGGCCGTATCTCCAGAATAAGAAAGGGACAGGGATGAACAGGAGAGTGATGGAAGCAAGGATGGTCTCCGCCCACTCAGGTTCGAACTTTTCGTAAAGCTTTGGCGTCACAAGCGGGAAGCTCATGGCAAATAGACATCTAAGGAGAGAACTAGCAGCCCCGACCGACGCTGCGATATGTGGGAACGAGTCGGAGGTGTACGTGGCGAACGAAATCTATTATCGCAGTTAGCTAATCCATCAAATCAGGTGTATATTGGTGGAAGAAAGTAGAAACTCACAAACAACATCACGATACACCAGCCAAAGGGGATACCAGATGCAACTGGAACTGCCCAATGAATGTGTGTAAATACAGTCCATGCAAGCCAGAACATACTGGCAGGAGCAAGGACTGCCGCTAGCATGGCTGGGGGAAGACGGCCTTCGGGGAATGGCCCATTATTGCCATGTTTTTCTGACAATCTGACGAAAATCTTGTTTGCCATACCCGCCATACCTCCTGCAAGGAGGATACCTATGGTGACACCACCGAATGCTGCGCCCGCTTTAGCTTCTCCCCAGCCATATCTTGTTCTAAAGGCAACGATGTACGCCTGGACCCCGGTTAGCTGTCCAAAACTGCAACTGAGGGAGCTTGATGACTTACTACGAGATAGAGGTATAAGATGCCCCAGATGAAGCTGACAAACAGAGAAGTAGGGAGAACAATCGGTTCAAAGACGAGCAATCGCAATGGCCTCCAAACGGCAGCCATGAAAGTTCTAGATCTTGGCAGCCTATTCCTTTGGAGTTCGGTGTACAGTCCCTCTACTCCGGTTCTCTTTCGGAGCTCACGAGCTTTGCGACTGAGCAGAGTTTGAGGGTGTGACTCCGGCACTAGCTACCAAGTAGAGGACACCGACGCAGCAAAGCTAAAGTTAAACCAGAGAATATATTCCCAGTTAGAATTCTCGGTAAGAAAACCTCCAATGATAGGGCCAAGTCCAGGACCAAGGAAGGCACGCATGGCCATCAGGAACGCGGGGGGGCCGACTTGCGTGGCTGTGCGGTGGCGGTATTAATTAGCGAGAGTTCCTTGCTGGGGGGAAGATAGTGAGGACGGCTTGCGATGGAACATGTCATAGGCAGAACCAAATCCAACTGCTGTAGCGGTAGAGCTGAAGACGCCGGAAAAGAGACGACAAATCAGTAGGGAAGTGATGTTGTTCGAGAGAGCACAACCTAAATTGAAGAGTATGAAGAGGGCCCATGTTGGCCGATATACAGAGTTTCTCCCGAAGACCTATTTTCCATCAGTAACTAGCTTCAAGACAGAGCAGGATTATTTCATACTTCACTAGCGGGGCTGAATATAAGTGGACCGGTTGCCCAACCAAAAACGTAGCTGTCTCCCGTTAGATACACCCAAAGCTCCTTGAAGGAGAGCTAAGTTACAAAGTCAACATCAATGTTGCGACCTCCGTGCTGATACCATATTGCAGTTTTACACGATTAATCGCAGGAGAGATACCCGCTGAACCAATGGAAATGCAAAAGGTGTTGACGCAGAGAACAATCACAACCAAAAACTCTATCAAAGATATGGATTAGGAACTATCAGTTGAACCGGAGCCTGGAATAGCCAATACTCTTGGCGGCGGTCCAATTCTGTAGATTGACGGGATCATTGGGCCCATCCCAAGTAACCAAGAAGAGGTCCGCTGGCGAATACTGAGATTCCTCCTTGCTCAGCAGCGATCTTGAGCCCGACATGCTTCTGACACCCGATTCAACATCTTCCTTCTATTGAAATTGTCAGAAGTGCTATGGACAAAAGAGTGACTTGGAACATAACCTTTCCTCCCAACATCTCTGCTGATGGCTCCGAGTGGGTATCGAGTGTGCAAATTTCTGAGGCCGGACGATTTACGGGGTATGATTCACCTCAAAAAATGATGGCGGGCTACGCCCTATTTAAATACACACAAAGGTTCACTTCAGAAGAATGGTGCCATGTAGAGAACACGGTAAGGGTATAATGTATAAAACGGGTCTCTCCTACCGGGGCTCGGATTTCCAATCCCTATGTTTTAACTAGTTACAAAGCAACAAACCCCAGACTTTTCTTGTCACTCCATATCCACCTATCTGGCAGGTTTATCCTCAGGAATATAGCACTCGTAGGCATAATATGTGTATGGGCAAAAACTAGGTGTGTAGAAATTTTTTATGGTATCACACCTAACTCTCTTAGTAGTGAAGTATTATACCGGTATGTATGTACGAGTTGACTTGTCCTGTGCCCCCCCCCTCTTTCTCTTTGTGCCCGGTGTGCACTTCCGACCGGTTCACCTCAAATACTAGATTGAAGCTTATAATCCCAAGAGAATCTAGCGTCCATTTGTGAGAAACTCCCCACTGCACTTTTCTCCAGATACCGGTACCCTAAATCTGTTTACTCTTTTCGGATCAAAGTATAAGTTACTAGATGTCATTGTTGTAGCACCGTAACAGACCGCTAGGCAACCTGAGCTCCTCACCGTATGCACTCGAGCACAATATGATGCTTGGTCCGACCCTTCCTCACCGAGCATGAACCAGCTCCCTCGCAATGAAGATTGATTGATCCCTCATTATGGCTGGCACTGCCACAGCAAAATTTCAAATAGTGCGCTTTTCATAAGGCGTAGTGCAGTGTAGCATAGGTTAGGGTGATGGATAGACTTTGCTTGTTCCTCTTCTGGAAAGGTGTAGTTCCGGTAGGGCTTGATCAAGGTATGATACCGATACGGTGCTGGCATGATATGTTGGTTAAGCTTCACAGAATACGCAATTCCGAGCTGGCTTTCACTGGGGAGGGTCTCTAGCGATATCACGAAACAGAGCTTCGTATTTCGGAGTCTGGACCCTCTCGCTGGGCTCCCTTCATACCTCCCCAAGCGGTTCCAACTCCTCAAACATCCGCCACATCTCCCACATTTTTTTTCTCCCGTTGTTATCCGGGTATTTGCGGTCTAGTCCAAGTTTGTAAAAAAAAAAAAAATTGGGATTTTAATGACTTCCTGAAGGGTGGTTCGCTGTCTCGGGCAAGACCCTAGCCTGGATTTGGGACCAAAATCTCCTAAGAAGAGTTAGTGTATTCCTGACATGGTATAGCCTGAGCTTTCTTTGGACATGTTGAATCTCATAACTGGTTGCAATTTTGTTAACTTTGTAAATTAAACTTATTGTGGGGCGGTGCGTAGATTTTGGCTGATAGGATAACACGATAGTGGGTTCTGGGAGCTCTCACAGTATCTTACTCATGATACAAGTATTAATAAGGCAAGTTGACTAGTCGCCGGGACGCGTTGTTGTCTTGGGTATAACCCCCCCTCGCACCAACATCTCCAGCCGCACCACATCCCAGCCGCCCCACAAGCCGCCCCACACTTGGGAACCTCCCGACCATCGTCAACTGACTCAACACCTCCACCTCTAGGAAACGACAAAAAATGAATCCTGATAGTGAGCCTCCATCAACGGATACCGAACCTCCGCTTCGGAGGCTATTCTACGGAGTTAACCCTCCGGTCTACCTTCCCTCACTCACCTGCGCGGAATTTTCCATTGCTCAGGTCGAAGCTCACCTCAAGCACCGTAAAGCTCACACAGCAATTGGTGACAACGAGCACGAAGAGGCCGTTTCATTCATAGGCGGAGGGAAAAAAGGTCCGCCCACTCTAGCCCAACTCGCTACGGCCAGAATCGTCTCTACGCTCCGCTATGACATGAAAGACGGTGTCCGGGTTCTCGTGCAGAGCTGTCCGGAGAAGTTGCTCCGGCCTATCCTTGAAAGCCCTAGACTACACTACATTGCGTTCCGGACCCTGCTCCACACTCACGATGCTGCGCAATCATCGCAGGGCATTGAGACCTCCGCTTGGGCTCATGTGCAGCGATTGGCCGGGGAAGATGTGGATTCGTGGGTTTTGAGGAATGAGAAGTTTATCCGTCAGATGCCGCCTGCGCACCAAAATTCTATGCTTGTGTCTTTGGATGAAGCCGCTGAGATCTGGCCGGATGCGGAGATTACCTCTGAACGTATCACCCTTTGGAGGAGGAAGCCGCCGAGAGAAGCTTTTACATGCTTTGATGAATTGCGGGCCCGGAAAATTGAGCTCCAACCTTCGAGCAAGAAGTTTGGTCAAACCTTCAAGAGGTTGACAAATGGTATCTTTGAGGGCCTAAATTGGAATAACGTTGTTATTGGTGGAGGAATGGTCTTGGCTACAATGCAGTGTTTATCTGAGGAGGACGACAAAGCCTGTATCGACTCTGATATAGATCTTTGGATCCACGGCCTTAACCCCGAGGAGGCGAATAAAAAGGTCCGCGAAATTTATAATGTCTGGTGGAGAAATCTGAACCCAGAAAGGAATTTTTATGTGATGAAGAACGCCAAAACCCTAACCCTAATGAGCGATTACCCCGAGCGAAGGATTCAGGTAAGCTTTTTGGGCTCAGTATTTCCCTTGTTTGGTAGGGCAGACGGAAACTGATAGTGGGGTTGGTATGATAGATAATATTGAAGATGACAAGATCTGAAGCGGAAGTGCTTCTCAACTTTGACCTGGACCCGTGCGCAATGTGCTGGAATGGGAAAGAGGTGCGTATGCTTCCACGCTGTGCTAGGGCCTTGGAAACAGGTTATACAGTTTTTACAATGGACTTGGTGTATGGCCATCACCTCGGTGATCGGCGTGCTACACAGGAGATGAGGTATGAAACCGTCAGGCTATTTGGGCGCCAATCGCTAACATGTATCACCTAGAGTTCTTAAGTACGCTAGTAGGGGATTCGGTATCCTCATTCCGGCCTCACTCATGAACACACTCACGGTCGATTTCGATGCCCGGAAACCCAAAGTCTCAAGTTGCCATGAGTCACATTTCCCAGGTCGGTCTGGTGGCCGCTACGGGAAGCCCCGCGGAGAGATTGTGTATTCTGGGAAAAAGGCGGTTAAGAGGATAGCATTTCTGGCGCAGGACATGGTACATAGGTTTTATCTTGGCTCGACACCTTTGTCAGCCCTTATAAGGGCGGAGGAAGACTTGTCTGACGAGGAAAGCGATGACGGCCAACCGCCTTATGGTTCTGAAGAATTGATTGAGGAGTCTGACGGAGAAGGCGGGGTGCGGACACGCCGAGTTATCAAGGCAATTGTCTCTAATGTAAACGGGCGGAAGCAGTCTATTGGGCAACCTGGTGGGAGGGAAGGGGTCGGGGCTGGCTTCGAAGTGTTTATGAGAATGGCAGCGCTGTTCAAATATGAGGCGGAGGACCGTCTAAGGTGTGACAGCTATTTTATCAAACCCGGACCGAAGCAGGGAGCTTAATGTTGTGACAACCTAGGATCGATCGAGATACACTTTGCTCTCTTGCCTATGACGACCCCGATACGTACGATGACACCCCGAGATACCTTTGGGGTCCAGATTTTAAGTTCGAAAATCTATCAGACGAAATTAACGCACACAACAACTCCCTTTTCGCAAACCTTAGGGAAGCCATTGAAGAGCTTCTCGGCTATGATTCTCCCCACGGAAGGGATTGTGAGTCTTTAGCCCTGATTACCATTGTTTAAATATGCTTATATAGAATGGCTGTGTGCATAGGGAAGGGATATCTAAGCCGACGGATCCGTCGTGTTATGTTCGCCGACAACATCGATGAGATTTTCCAGAAGCAGATTACAATCCCGATATGTGTACCTGCTGCATTAGAAGAATATATAGAGAACACCATGAGGGATGTATGCGACGAACATGGCATGCCCTGGTCTGACGAATTCAAGGTGTTGATCCCGATTCACAATCGGAACACCACCACTCGTCCAGCTCCCCCAGTTGGGAGATGGAATTATCGGTATTGGGTCATCGGGAACATCACAATGTGGGCCAAATGGGACCCGCGAATAGATGAGTATCAAACCCCCCTTCCCCTTCCCCTTCCCCTTCCCCACGACCCCCACGGGTTCTAACGAAAGCCCCAGAATCTTCGAAGTCCTCTGGTCAATCTTCCACATGGAAACCCGACCCAGAAACTTTGCCTATCGCTGTGATCCGGATGAAGAAGAGGACCGGTTGCTAGCGAAAACCCTCGCCGCCAAATTTGACCAACGCATCATCCCCGCCTCATCGCTGATCCCGCAGGTCGAACAGATAGCGCCGGGTTCGTGGCCTGACGCCCGCGAGAAGGAGCTTTTCCGCGAGTGGATGATGTGTTTTCCGCAGCCGGAGAGCAGAACTTACTCTTATGAGACGCATCATACGCATTATATTGAGGGCCGTGTTCGCACATTCGCAGAAGAGCTGTGGTGGAATGAAGAGGTGGATGGAGCAAGTGATGGAGGGAATTGGGCGGAGTGGGAGACACCATCAGGGGGGCTGGAGGTTCGGCAGATGGATAAGAAGAGGAAGAGGGTTGATAGCGGGGGGTTGGAGGGTATGGTTGCGGAGTGAGATATCTTCTAGTAATGGCCTTCCGGAGGTGACATTTTCTGGCTTTTGATTAGCTAGATGTTAGGCTTCGACAGCCATGGCACGGTTACAATCTCTTGATCCCCTATCTTGATCCGTTTCTTTATCGTTGTGGGCTTCTTGTGTTACCTCTGGTATAATTGCAGGTGTAGATAGTGTCATACTAATTTAGCATTCTGTCCCCCTGCACGCATTTAGCCAACCACAATCAAAAAACTGGCGGAGGAATTGCAGCCCCCCGGTAACCAAGCGGTACCGCACGGGCACAAGGCTACTTGTCTCGCGAGTACTCGACACCTTGGCAAAGCTCCTTATTCGCCGTGGCATGGTCAGTCTTAGCATAATAGCAGCAAACCAACAGCCTCAACACCATCCTTAAATAGTAGTTTACTCACCGTTTAAAAAAGGAAAACCTCATTTTGATACCATATCTTCAAAGACAGCAACCCTCCGAGTGATGTCTCGTCTACGGTAGCTAGATTTTATGGATTCTCACTGTAATTTCCATGCCCCCCACGGTATAAGCTTCTCGCATCCGCGGCCTCTGGCATGATAGCCTCGGTGCTGGAGGTTCCGGTTTTTAGCCGAACTGTACGAGGGGTGGTGGGAGCGGACGTACTGTACGTTACTCGTACACTTATGTGATACTCTGGGACATATGTATGATATTCATACCGCAGTTGACCTATGGATACATTACGGCCAATGAGTCGCTCTTCTGTCCAGCATCTCTAGGAACCTTTGTACAGTACCATGGGGAGCGCTCCCCTCAGCAAGTTGTGCGGGTACGGCACTATTGCTCCGCTTAATGCCGTCCATGATCGCTTTGAAAGGGGACACCTTTCTATAATATTATTCGTTTCTGGTATTACTATATGCGGTGAAGTGCAGTACTGGTACCCACGCTAACCCCTGGGAGGAAAAGATAATTTAACAAAAGTCACACGAAAACAATAACGGATAATAAAACAATGACAGGCAGTGGCACTCACAGCAAAGTACTTAGCCGTAGGGCTACTGCTAGTGACTAATCCACTCACCCAACCGTTGGGGGTTAAATGGATCGTTGAGATGGGGATAAGCCTCAAGCCATAGTCTACGGCAGTATCCGCACTACTGTAAAAACTTGAATAACCTGACGGTTGTGCTATGATATGTAGTCCAGAATTCCCTTCTCTGGAAAGGGGCAGAAAACACAGCCCGTTCCCCGCACCTCCTTCCGAGACGGGAATAAAAACAACATCTTCTTGACCCCATCCGGAGAGGAAAGCCCAACGACATGGCACGAGGTCCAATTGTTCGGGTTTTTACGGAAATTGCCTAACATTCGTGAAAGCTACGGGTGGTCTACTGGGTCCGACGCTTATCTTCACATGTGCAAGGTATGGTTCTGGACAGTAAAAACCAACCCTCTTTTTTTCTCAGATGAACACCTCATGAAGAAATGTTATTACCAACCACAACTATTGTATAATGATTTTTTAGGTTGTATATTTGTTCATTTACTGAATCTAAAGACATTTACAGAGCCATAAAGAAATCAAGAAATATTTGAGCCCTGTAAATCATTTTAAAACCAGTAACTTTTTTGCCTAGTCCTGAATTCAATACACATTTAAAAATAATGCTAAAATGTGTATATGAGTGATTGTTGATGAGTATATAGGGTTAGGGCAATTTTCTGATATGGTATCAGAGGCCATTAAGTTATTTGTAGCTAAAGACATAGTCCTAACACATTTATTATCAAGAAAACCTATTAAAATGCATTATAATAGAGAAGAGATTATATATATAAAGAAACAGAGCTTTCTGCTTATAATGCAAAGTACCAGTCATGTGGAAGGGTTTATTGCATTTATAAGTTAAATGAATCTAGAACTTTCTATATATTCATTATATTATTCATTATATCATAATAGAGAAAGAGAATTTTAGTAATTTTTAAAGGATTCATAATTTATAAACAGGAAAAGAAAGAGAAATAAAAAAGTGAGTGATATCTTGTGGATTAGTTTCAATTCTCAATACACAAAGGGTTGATTTTTACTGTCCGGAACCATAGCTCGATAAGATGCAGAGTAACGTATTGTACCTGGTTATGCGTTGCTGCTCTGGCTTAACTCATCCCTTTACTAGAGAGGCATTCAGTCCCGGGATCGAAAAGGCCTTTTTCGGGCGCCAAGGTTCGAGCTCGTCAACCAGGTTTTGTATACGAAAGAAGCAGTACCAAGGGTTTTTAACCGTGGGCTACTGAGATTTCTGCGTAAAGATCGATCAATTCTGCCTTGTGGCAGGATTATTTATAGTCCTGATCTCACTTGGGGGCCCATCGTAAGTGGGGCCATCTTGAACTTTACTGGCCAAAGTTGGGAGTGCATAACCATGCGAAGGGCAGGTATAGGGCTTCTTCCGAGGGTGGGAGGGAAATATTGTGTGAAGGCCGTATCATAATATTATTATCATATCACACCACCGCGGTTTTGCTACGGTATTTTACTTTTCGATGCTCAGTATTGCTAAAGTATCATAGGACTTAGAGGCTAATGAGAGTGGGTTTGCCTCATTTACCCTTGACCCCCGGCGCAGCAGAATAATCACCACCACCTTTGAACGAGCAGGACGGACACAGCCATGACGTATAGGAGCTCGAGGAACAAAAAAACGAAATTCAGGTACCGGTTGTGGCTTTCTCTATACCTCAGCGAGTTCCGATAAACCCTTGGGACCAATTAACTGTCCCCTCAGTGGCCGTCCTTGGGCGCCCGAGCCTGGGATATCCAATTAACTGAGGCCATAACCGCCTCTTCCCGAAACGTGATACTCTATCCTCGGCTCCCGCCTCGCTCCCCGACATTGCTGGCCCGGCTGGCCTGTAGGGCTAATGGGAGGTTCAGAATTGGGAGTGCTGTGACTTTTCGTGCCCGCCATGTCGGCGATGGTCAATGCCGACGTGGTCCGTGGTGTGCTGCACCGTACTACCTGTTAAAACCCGCTTGATGCGTCTGGAATGCTTGCAATATTCACTCATTTCTCTGGTTCCTCACGGGAGTCTGCACCCCTCTTCCTACCCCCCCCCTCCAACCCGACAAACTAGCGCTAACGACCAAATGCTCTCCAACCTATCTGTCCTAATCACCGGGTACGTCTCCTGCACCGTATGCCTCATTATAATCTTCTCGCGACTCAGCAGCACTTACCACCGGTTCAAGACATGGACACTGGGTGACTACTGGATGATCGGAGCCTTGGCCCTCCTCGTGGGGCGAGTGGTTGTGGTTCACTTGGTGATCGTGAATGGCACTAATGACTTGCGTGGTATCGGGGAGCTGGGTGGAGAGGAGGGGCGTAGGAGGGAGTTTGGGAGTAAGATGATACTCATTGGGAGGACTTGTTATGCTCTTTTGTGAGTGCTCCAGTGGACTGGAGGCGGCAGTGATGGGGAGCTTATGTGAGGGGGGTGGGATAGTCTATGGTTTTTGAAATTTGGGATCGTTTCGCTTTATGAACGGATTGCGCCCCAGTCGAAGGGCTATCGGGTTCCGCTGAAGTGTATATGGGTGTTTTTGGGCCTGACGTTGGTTGGGGTTCTCTGTTCGACATTTTTGGAGTGCAGGCCTCTCAACCGGTATGATCTCTTTTTCTCTGTTTACTGGTTGATGCTGTGTGATTAGGAGCTAATCTTTGGCAGGTACTGTGAGGATCATTGTGAAGTAACCTTTTCGCGCGTGAACATAGCTAAAATTCTCTAGGGCAAGTATATCCTGATCCAGGAGGTAAGTTTCCCCACAATCGCTCATACGAACGTCGAATGCTAACAATTATCAGAAACGTGCCACTACTCCGAAATCCAACTTTACACATCAGGTCCTCCCCCCTCCCATCACCGTCCATCAACTGTATTAACTAAAAGCAAACAAGGGGCCTGCAACATAGTCACCGATCTGATCTTAATGATCTACCCTCTCCCAATTATATTCCGCTCCCGTATCCCCACCCGACGCAAACTCCAAATCGGCGGCCTCTTCTCCCTTACCTTCTTTGCAATTCTAGCCAGTACACTCCGGTTACCATTCGTAATGAGTAATAACTCACGTCAGCGATGGAGAGCTCTTGTTTCACCCTCCCCTTCATCAATCCAGAGATACAATTGTTGACGTTTGGGGTAGTTTGCTTGGGTAGAGATGCTGGTGGCCTGCTTCGTTGCAAACGCACCAGATTTATACAGGGCCATTGGTGTGCGGGCGAATGGCAGCTCCGGTACTAGATCTTCTGGTGAGGGCGCCCCGGGGAGGTACTGGTTTACGGCGAACCGGAGGAGGGGGATTAGAGGGAGGGGTGTAGCTCCTGCCCTTAGGGAGGAGGGGGAAAGTGAAGGTGTGTCGGGGGGGAGTTTGGTATGTATTCCGGCCCACGATAGATTTGATGGGTAACTTAGCGCATCGTCGCTAATGACCTAGGTAGGAGTTGCTATAATTTAGGGGAATGTGCGTAGTCTAGTTTGATGAGGTCCAGTGTCACGATATTGGTCGAATAATCATTCGGTGGCGGGTTTTTCCTGGGTGTTATTTTTATTTCAATTTTATTTTCCATACCTGTACCTCTATCGTGTTTGGCCTTTGGAGATGAATTTTGGGTTATGGGGTTCGAAAGGATATGTGGAAGGGAATGTGATGTGTTGTGATTTGCGGAAGTGTGCTGCTATATTGTATCGCATCAATTGGAGGGCTTCGCCTCCCCCTAGTACAAGTACAGGTATCAGGGAAGAGCTTTTCGTATAAGACAGGGATTATTTTTCTGGTCAACTATCCCACTGGTATTCGTACTTGTACGTTGAACAAAATTACAGTTCCTGGGTATGATACCTGACTGCTACGAGCACTAGAGCAGTGGCAGGTGCTCCCCGAGGTCTTGAGGGATGTGGAAATGATATACTGGTAGGTCGTGTGCTCCCTCCGCGGCGCCCTCAGATCTTCGACTGAAGCCTGCCAATCTTCCGGCGATGCGAAAGCTTTAGAGGAGATCTCTTTGGTAGAATGCAGTACTTGTTTTGATTGTCCCCCCTCACTCTTTTTTTTTTCTTTCTTTTTTCCCCGTTCTCCTCTCTGCCAGGCTTTCTAGGGATGCTCTGTTGCCGTCGGAGGGTAGGAGGGGATATAGCTGAAGGAGGAATGGGCTAAGGATCTGAATTGACATCATACTTTACAGACCTTATAATTTAATACTGCGCACTATTAATTCGTCCCCTTCACACTCGCAGGACTATGTCAAAACCATACCATACAAATGCTCGCTCAGCTCAAGGGGAGCGAACATGCGTGAAGCAATTTCTGTCGTTATTGGCCAAAGTCTGGCGGGCGTGTGATAGCGTGACTATAAGAAAGCAAAATATTGGCACTGGCGCTCCCCCAAAAGTGGGGAAATGGCCGGGCGGACCTTCCGCTTATTACCCCTGCCACTGCGGCCCGTTCCGGCCATCGAAGGATTTCGTTGGTCCAGGAATTATCCCGGGTGGGCTTGCCTCTGAGGTGAAGGATAAATTTTTTTTTTACAGTGCTCGAGTGGAGGAGGGTTTTGAGGGGAATGCTGCAATCGTGCGCAGCGCCCCCACCCAAACGGATCGGTCGCACAACAGCGAAACCCATCACGTTTGCCCTTGACGGATCCCTCGAGACTTTCTTAAATTACGACAATAATTTGTAATGACGATTCATGGCAGAACAAGAGAGAAATTGGAGAACACGGTAATGTAAATTTTTTGTTGATTTCACTGTGGATTGATAAAGCTGGAAAACCCCTCATGCTGCTGAGCGCTCAGCGCGGTGATTTGGATATGGTTATTTCTCCTCTAGCAGGGAAATGTAAGTCGAGTTAAGCCTCCAGAGCAAGACGCTGGAAACAGCTCTTCCTGGGTATCAGCTCCTGCAGGTGTTCTCATCGTAAGTGGTGGTTCCTCGAATCACAATGGCAGATGGAGAAAAGCCTTTCAATTCGGGATTGCGATGCAGCACTCTTTCCCACCCTTGCACTCGTGCAGCGCAGTACAGCCACAGCGATAAGCTGATAACGAAGACTCCTGGTAGGTCCGTCTATTTTCGTAATGTTGTGACGTTTGTAAAATAGTTGAGGATCTCGCTCGGCAGTTTGGATTGCCACCCCCCCACCTATTGGTGGGGCTCTACCGATATTGCGTCTGGACCGAGCGCTGAAAGAGAATCTTATCGCCGTGTTTTTTCTCCCTCCCCCCCACCTCCTCCTAGTCCGAAGGGGGAAATTCTGGACGTCTTTGCATCGTCACTTTCGCGAACATCGCGCGATATTATGAACGCGAGAGATTCTGAATGGGCTGAGTCGGACCCTGCTCTCGGGACCGGCTGACTCGAGGAGGAAGAGCAGCTTGTTGCGCAACCAATGTCTCCCTGCGCGGCTGGCCTCCGGCTGGCCGCCGGCAATGGGGGGTGCCCACCATTGATCGCTTTCGTCTTTGCCGGGTTGGGTTGGAGGCGTGGTTCAAAGGATTCTGTAAGCCGGCGCTCATGAAGCGGATACCCACTCTGCAAGGAGATAGGGCACCCGTTGGAATGGGGATGAAGGCCCAATCAGTTACATGACCTTTACCGAATCACCTTATGTGTGAAAGGGAATGAGAGCTTCAGCGGGTTCCAGCCGACCTGGCTGATACATACATGGCTTGAGCCCGAAAGAAATCCCCGGTCCAATTGGTGGCATTGTGCAACCATTTACATTACTCTCGCAACTCACCGCCCCTCACATAGCACATTTCCTTCCTGCCTGTCCGCCATACAGCCTCACTCTTCATGTCTCCGATATTGCGAATAATCCTGAATCACTTATAACACATCAACTCTAATTCGTTGACATTGTGTACAGTACTTCATGTTGGCAAAAAAAAAAAAAACGGCCGGAGCCTCAAGATCTTGATAGTATTCGACAGTACTCTGGGAGCCGTGCTCACAGACGTCGGGAAATTACTAGTAACTTTAGCGGTTATTAATCGCGCAATCCCAGTTCTCGTCCTCCTACATAAAACTTGCCTAAATCGGATAATTATACTCACCTCGACGATAATTCAACCAACTCTCGACACCTGCGCCCAAGTCCCAACTCCTGCGAATAGGGTATGCAAAGAACGGAAGCTTTTGGGTTTATCTTAGCTTTGAAGCCTCAGTATTACATAGGGATAGCTACTCTAGCTAAGGACACGGTACCATACGCTTGCTCGATCGATAAGAATCTCCTGGAGGGACCTCAGCAAACAAACCAACTAACTCTCCCGAGAACGCGACAAACCTCAATATAATCCCCTGGGAGCCACAGCATCTGGTGAAGAAGGTCGATCGTGTAGAGAGTGGATAATTATCACAAAATGTCAGCCGGGGGGGGATGTTTGGGATTACGGTTCCCCTCTTGACTTGCTCCTCCGGTTGCGGTATGCTAGCTGGTCAGTTACCCCTGTTGAGCAACATGTATGAAATACTTTGACTTTTCGCACCAGAATTTATCTGTTTGCAGGCTGCTGATATGGCCTCATGGGGAAGTTGTACCCGCCATCATAAACGATCACTCGGGTGAAAGAACTATCGCATGGCACGACTTGGAGACTAGATGGGTTCTGCATCGCACTAATCCTCTGCTATGCGCTTGTCATGCAGGCATATAGCGTCTGGTGACCTTTTACTCTCTGGTATAACCTATCATCTACCCAGAATACTAGCTTACATCTATCCCCTCTCCCAATGATCCATGATATTTATGATACCGTACTAGAATTGATAACCCCAAGTAAAGTTTTAACTTATGACACATTGCAATCCAGCAAGGAAAGGCGGCATAGTTGGAAAAATGCCGTAAAAAGTAATTAAAATTTAATTTACTTGAAGGCCAAAAGTGCTAACTAGCCACGGGCGGGAAGAAAAATGTACTTGGCCCAGACTCAAACCGGGGGTAGAGGGCGTTAGACAGGTCCAGAAAGGGCTACACCACGAAACTGCATTACCGGCGGTTTACTTATTAGCCTCACATCGTTACTTAGGCCGACCCAATCGTGTCTCCTTCCACCGCTAAACCGAAAAAATGTGTCACCCTAAGACGTGGGGGATAAGAAAATGCAGAATCAAAAAAGAATGTTTACAGCCTCTACATGGGCCAATAACTACCAGCAGCACGCTACCGAGCAGTTTCTCAGTAGAGCTTACCATCGCAAGTACGGATCGTCGTTTGACAGGGTTAATAATTCCCGTAATGTTTCCCTCAATACCTTAGTTAACCTTATATCCGATATACTACAAGTTATTGCGTCGGAAGCAGTCAAAACTTGAAGCCAGTGACCACCTGTCCCTAAGAAGCCCACCAGCGCTGAGCCCATGAGGGCCATCTCCCGATGAATTGTAGCAGTCTTGCCTTCAACAAGTTAGTATCATACTTACCTGTCTTGTCACTTCTGAGCCAGATCTATATAATGGGGTCCCTCCCCCCCCCTTCTCTTCTTTTTTTTTCTCATTGCGCTCTTCATCTCTCTCCTCTACAGATATACACATACAACTTAATGTCAGTATCTCCTTTCCATGTTATGACAACCTAAGTTTAATTCCTATTTTTAGAGGAGAATAAAAAAGTAAGCAGTAATATAATTCACTAACAGGTCTGTATTTTCAACTTTCATTGTAATATTATGTTTCTCTTTATGATATTTATTTTACATATATCCTCCCACCCTCCTCCCTGCATAGGTTTAAATCCTATTTTGTTTTTTTCCTCTACTGACCTATCTTGGTACTTCTGAACTTGATCTATATAATAGCATCCCCATCCTCCTTTTTTTTTTCTTCTCATTACTCTCTTCAACTCTTTTCTACAAACTCATACATCTGTTCGGAATACCAGGATCCAATATCCAGAAACCACCCTAAGTAGGGTAACTCCACTCGGAATCAGAATCTCTGATCTCCAACACTCCTCTCCAGCTGCCTTACGGGTCCCACACATTACCATACATATTGATCTCAGTTGTATCCTGCAACTATAATGCCACAGAATGTCACGAATGTATCTTGGCATGGAAAAGGTTTTCACATGACTCATGATTATGAGTCATAGGTATATTATTGCTTCACACATATAACTCATTTAGGTCATATGACTTGTTATGTTATGATTTGTTATGTTTCGCACATGACTTGATTATGAGTCATGGGACATGTGCCTGGCTTGTATGCCTTGCAAGTATGCCTTGCGGGTATGCCTTGCACATATGACTTATATTTTGCACATGACCTGATTATGAGGTTATAGATTTTGTGCTTGTGACTACTTTGGGTGGTATGATTTGTTTATTACGTTATGATTGGTTTATGAGTTTTCACACATGCCCTTGCTATGAGGCCATGGGTTTTAAGCATGTAACCACTTTGGTCATATGACTAGTTTGTTATGATTTGATTTCACACATGTGACCACTTTGGGTCACATGACTTAGGGCTCGAAGAATACTATATAAGGAGGCTGGTATAGTCGAGGAGGATAGGTTCTTCACGCTTGGTTCTAAGTACTTTTCCTACTTATTACATTAACAAATATAAAATACCTTTATGCTCTTTATCATATTTACATCCTGTATTACTATTACAACAAGCAGGCTCTATATGAGATACAGTTAGAGAAACTTATGATAGATGATATCAATAAAAGACAAAGGTCTTGTACTATCAGTAATGAAAGCATATGCCTCAGAGTTAACATACAGCAGAAGAAAAAGAGAAGTATCA